TGGCTTGCTACCCATCGAGCTCTCTGTCCTTGTCTCTGTGACTACCTCCAAGCATCCAAATCCACTCAAGCTTCAGCTAAACTGTTGCACGTACAGTCAAGCACTAGACCCAAGTAGGAGAAGTTTTTGCTTCATTGGCTCTGTGACACATTAATCCTATGGCCTTGGACCAGTCACCAAACCGCATGAACTGTATAATCATTATTTGAGCGATAAAGAAATTGTGCTGACAGGTATTTTAGATTCCTTCTAGGACTATATTAACAGGAGGAGACTTTAAGAGCACTGGACCTGGAGTCAGACAGATGTATACTTGTCTGTCAATGATACCTCTTGCTAGCTGCAGGAACTTGGCCAGATCACATGCCCTTTGTGAACATCACTGCTGCCATTTGTAAAACAGGATGAATAATTCCATTTCCAGTATTCCTGTGAAGATGAAATGTGATATATAATCATGTAGGTAGGACACTTAGCACAGTGCTTGGCATCTACAGGGGCTCCCCAAATAACAATGACAACTGTTAAAGACTATTGCAAAGGCTTTTAAATGTATTTCTACTTGAAGAAGTAAATGGAATTGTTTACATTCTGTGGCTTTTTGCTAAATTCTTGACAAGAGAATATTTATACATTTGCCAATGGTTTAAGCTCAGCTTTTCCTGAGGAGGTGGGTGCATGTGACCTGTGGCCTCTAGAATCTTGGCGGAGCTGTCCCACCACGTTGTGAAGACAGGCAGGGCAGAGGCCGATCCGCTTGGTGGTTGGGTGTTGTGGCTCTCTGGGAGCCGGATGTCCTGCAAACATTAATGAAATGACCCATTCAGTGATGCAAATTAAGTGAAGTTGATGGGGGCGGATGATTTGGTATTTTGATTTTCAATCCCATGTGGACATACCACTGGGAAGCTCAACAATGTGGGATGATAGATGTGGGTTTGAACTTTTAAAAAGTTTAAAAAAGTGCCCTGTGAAAAAGCCCTCTCCAATAAAATCAGTGGAACTACCAGAACATGAGTGCTGAATGTCCAGAACCAGCCAGGGGGGGCCTAACATCCCAAAGATGTCAGAGGGGGCCCCTGTGCACTCACTCAGTACAGTGGGCCTGGTTTCTTGGATTGGAAATAACTAAATATTTTCTTACTCATTCAAACTCAAGCTGCTTAAATTTTAGCTGCTTAGAGTTGGCTGACAAAGTAGCTGCTTCTGTTCTGGTGGGTTTTACATGCTGAGTTGTGCTGGGGGACAGGAGAGAAGCAAGTGCTCAGACAGTGGACCAGAACTCCTCCAAACAGACCAAAAATACAGAGCCACTTGGTGACATCCATGTGAATGGCCCAATGCGTGGATCCCAGCATCCTGCAGGAGAACAAATGCTTTCTGTGTGCTCATTAGTCCCTTAGCTGATTCTAGACCTTTGTTCTTGCTCAATCTTAAATGACATCTTCATAAGCTTTTTCTTTTTTAAGGAAAACATTTACATCACATTCCCAGTAGGCACACATATGTGTGTATGTGCATTGAAACACAAATTTTCCAGATAAGTACTAATCCTTGCCATGTACATGAAATGACTCTGATACATTCTATTCCATTCCAATTTATTCCATTTCATGAACAAAGCTAGTCAATACCTATAAAACTGATCTTACAATTCACCGTGGGGTCACAACCTGCAGTTTGAAAAACACTGGGACGAGAAAAGGACTTTTAGCTTCAAAACTAAACTCCACCGTCCATCCCCTCGCTGGTCTCCTCCTACCCCCTGGACTGCTCATTCTCTGCGTCTCCTTCCCTCTGGTGCACATGCTTTCCTGGGCCAGCCCTCTGTTCTGCTCTTGACTGAATTTCTTCACAGATCTTAACTTGTTCTCATGTCTAGAATGATCACTGCTACTATAGCAACTCACAAGTATGTATGTCCAACTCTGGATCTCTCTAGAATCTCTACCTGTTTCCAGCGGCAATCTGAACACCTCATCGTCTTATGTTTCGCTTTACTGCACTTCGCAGATGTTGTGTTTCACAGATTGAAGGTATGTGGAAAACCCTGCCTGGAGCAAGTCTCTCAGCACCACTTTTTTTCCAACAGCATTTGCTCACTCATGTCTCTGTGTCGTATTTTGATAATTCCCACCACATTGCAAACTTTTTGTGATCTGTGATCAGTGATTACAACTCACTGGAAACTCAGATGATTCTTAGCATTTTTTTTAGCAATGAAGTAATTTTTAATTAAGGTTCTGTACGTTGCTGATGCACGTGTAACAGACTACAGGACAGTGTAAACATAACTTTTATACGCACCGGGAAATCAAAAAATCCATTGAACTCACTTTGTCGCTGTATTTGTTTCCTTGTGGTGATCGGGGACAGAGGCTGCAGTATCCCGGAGGTCTGTCTGTAGTTCCTTGGAGCTTTAGCCCCATCATCTCCAGCTCAGCATGCCCCGAATCAGAATGGTGATCTTCTCTACACACCTCCATGTCCCTCCTCAGTTGATTCATGGCTTTCTTGTTCTCCCATTTATCTCAGCCGAAAATTTCAGGCCATCTCTGACACTTCCCTTTTCTTTGCCTTTCATCACTAGCCTGCCATCAAATCTTGTTAAGTCTTTGCTCACAAACTTTGTCTTGTTTTTCCATACCCCCTTGACCAAAACAATCGAATGGCCTCTTATTCCATATGGAATTGAATCTGAACTCTTTAGATACGTGGGCTGTGGTCTCGAACCTTCTACCTATCATCTTCCTGAATAGGCCTCATGCTGCACTGCATGTTGCTCCCCCAATGAGGAGCTGAAAAGAAATCAACCTTTCTGGGTACGCGGGAGTCCGCCTGAGAATGCTCTCTGGGAGAATGCTCCTGGGCTAACAGGACACTGAGCCGGGGTTTCCTGCCATATGATGTCACAGTCTGGAGGCATAACTGCTTGTTATGTTAACATGCTATTTGGTACTTTCTGGATGGTTGGGGTCTGGGAGACACCTTGAATCTTCCCCGCAACATCAAGGGGTACCCAAGCCATAGTGTTGCTGTCCTCTAAACCAACTGTTCTCCAACATTTATGAGCCTACCAGTTATCTGTTGGAATAAAGGTTCTGATTCAGCAGGCCAGAGATGAGGCTTAAGGTTTGCATTTCTGTTGGGCTCCCAGGGAATGTGAGGCTGCTTGCTGGTGGGAGATGCACACTTAGAGCAGCAAGCCTCCAAATGCCCTTGGACCCATCTCGTGTGTTTGTCCTCTAAGCCGCTCTTCTGTCTGAAGCGTTGTCATCTCACCCCCTTCTAACTGGTCTGCCCTCTGCCTGCTCCTCCCGGTGCTGGTCGGCCCCTTGCAGAAGCACCGTCTATGGATCATCATGTCATCAGTGAGCTTCCCAAGCCAAAGTGCAGCGCGAATCAGACACGCAGGCCGCCCTTGCAAACCCCGCCTATGATCTGGGGCGGGGTAGGGACTTTGCTGGAGCGTCTTCCCTGCCGTGCTGCCTTCTCCTCTGCTCACTTCCTCTGATGAACTTAGGTGGTTCCTCTGCTTTTCCCCACAGTACTGATTTTCACTGTGCACCAGCCAAAGCCAGGCCCGCACACTGGGGCGCCTCGACTTTCCCAGCAACACATCAGGGCATTCCTTCTTCAATCCACTGTTGGCAGACTACATGGGGTTACAAAGAAGTGGGCTGAAGAGGCTGGAAGTTGCTTAGAGGAAAACACGATGGGGGAGGTAGATGACGTAGCCCACTGCGAAGCCCCACCTCACCCCGACTCCCTGCGGCTGTGTTGGTCCCCCTGAGTGGGGCTCAGCCCAGCCGCGGGCTGGTGCTGGGGCTCATGGGGGCCCGGCCACTACATTGCCATTCTCCTCTGTGGGTTGTGGGAAGCAGTGACGTCCCAAGTGCTGTATTTCTACTCTATCTTGGTTCCTTTTTATGTATTCATTCATTTATTATTATTACTGCTGGCACTCTATTGCAAAGAGAATTGTCTCTCATTAAGCGCAGAGCCCAGTGTGAGGAGGCTTCTGGAGACCAAGAGGTGGGGAGGAAGCAGGTGGGAAATGAGGTTTCTGGGTTTGGGGCCCCCCAGCTCTGCTCACATGTCTGTGTGGTCTCGGAAGGGTGATTCAGGTTTTTGACCTGTTCCCTGATCCTCAGAAGGGGGTGAGAATAGACCACTGTTTAACAGGTTGTGAGGATAAGGTACTTGCCAAAAAGGGGCATAATATTACTATTCTTAAAACACAAACAGAGAAACAAAGCTCTCCCTCCCAGAATCACACCGTAGCGTCCTCCTTGCCTTGAGGTTTTCTTCTGTTTGGTGGGCGGGTCCTTGTGTGACCCTCCCAGGCTCTGGGAACACACTGAAGGGTCACTAAGACGCGGGCCAGCGGCATTTTCATTCTCATATGCTTCCCATTAGGGCAAAGGTCATGCAGTTCCTCCTTGCAGGAAAACAGTTCATTTGGAGGGAAAAACTCAGACATAATGATTTTCCACCCCAAGGAACCAGCCTCATGATCCAATGTGAGGATGTTTTCCAGGGTGTCCCCAGGGGTAGAGATGTTTCAGGAAGTCCCTCAGTGCTGCGTCCCTGGGCCTCCGTGGCCCACCCCTCCCAGTCCATCCTCCAAAGCCCCTCCAAAGCCCCCGGCATTTCCAGATAAATTCAGGAGACTGACAAGAGCTCCAGCCGCAATGAGCTCCAGAAAAACAAGGACCCAGCATGAGGAAGTGGGCCGAAGTGGGAGGCAAGACGGAGAGGGGAAGAGGTTTTCAGCAGCAGAGGGACCCATGAGACCCATCTGCAAGACAGACTCTTTGCTTGGCACAATGTCTGCACTTACGCCTCTGATAGTCAGCCGTGTGATCGACAGCACGCCTGCTACCTGGTTAATAACAGGACGGCTCAGTGACAGCAATGAGCACACCTGCTCTGGGATCCGTGGCTAATTAACCAAGACCACTGAACACTGACTCTTACTTTTCTTTCTCTCTCCCCAGGGCAGCCACTGAAGTTCTGGCAGCTTTGCTGAAATCCAGTGAGTACCTCTTTTGAAAAGTGGTTCTTTCTTTCCCCTCTGTGTTCAAGTGAAAGATGCTCTTCTGTCTCCATGGCTCATTTTCAACTTGGAAGGCACTGGAGTCATTCCTGGCTCTTTGGGGTGAGGTGGAGAATCCTGTGGCTGTCCCAAACACAGGCTGCAGAGAGTTAATACCTCTCCCTGTGGGCATGCCTGGCCATGAAGCCATGTGGGGAGCTGGTTCTGCAAGGAATGTGTTTGCTGCAGACCTGAGGAATTCTCCAGCGCCTTCTAACAGGACCAGCAGCCCTTAAGGGGTTCTGGTCAGGTTTGGTCCCAAGTCTCTAGTTCTATTTTATAGGTAGAAATTATATATAAATAGAGTATAAATATTATATATACATAGAATGTAAATATTATATATATATATATCAATAAAAAATGCAGAAAAATTTCCATTTTAATAAATAAAAATAAACTCCAGGTTCCCATGTGATTGTCTCATAGAAGGAACAGTAATGACATGGGGTGGGAAGCAGGATTCTTGCTGTTGGTTCCCATCTCAGCTCATGATTCTATATTCTTGGAAAGGTGGGTGTTGGGCATTGCTTGGCCAGTATAGATGCTGATGAAAATTTATATTAAAATGTTGGCTCTTTTCTCAGTTACTTGAGTGATGGCAAAAGAATAGCTGTGGGGGTCTAATTTGAGGATTTTTTTTCTTTTTCTTCTTCTTCTTTTATTTATTTATTTTTGTCTAGTAGCCCTGGTCTAATTACGTTGAGAGTCAATTTTGTGTGCGCAGTGTAATAGAAGGCACCGTTCATTTGGGAGTGAAGACGTCTTAGCTTAATGTTTTTATTTTTTCCCTGCCTTACCTCTTCATCTGTTTTAATTTGGCACCTTGGAAACCAGGTGCTTCAATTGTGATATTTGTTTCTCTACAGGGAGCCTGAGGCCTGTGGGTAATAGGTGGACTTTAATGAAACTTATAAATAAATCAAAAAAGTAAAAACACCTTCTTCCCCCAGCCATTCATCTCTGTCAGGTATGAGCGCAGAGAAAGAGCCGTATCACGTGGTGCTTCCTTTTGTGGACTAAAGGGAAGCACTGAAGCCTGAATTCATTTGGTTTGTTAGAACTCGATACAATACACAGGTCCATGTGCAGATGGAGTGAAGGTGGTCAGAGCAGACCAGGGAGAGAAGAGTGAGGTGCCAGGAAGCACGTGAGATGGGTGGAGGGGGTGTGCAGGAAAAGCATGGTCTGCCACTTGTGGACAAGTTAGGGCCAAACTTGCCCCAGATTTGGCCTCTTAGTTCCCGGGATATACCTACTCACTCTGTCACTCCTGTGACAGGTATTTGATACAACATGGTAAGGTGGTTCTTGGATTGAGAATGCCTGGGGAAGTCAGCTGCTGATTGCCTTGGGGAGTAGCTTTCTCCTGTTTCCCCCAGCCCAGCCCTGGCAACAGAGAGATCTGTCATGGGAAAAGGGCCCTGAACTTATCCTTCTGTGCATGCACACACCGGTCTCAGCCTGTGGACCTTGATTATAGTGCATTTGCCACGTGCAACAATCTGAAAGTAATCACACACTAGTTACTACTTCCACATGACCCACGATGCACGGGCCCAGGAGAAACCAAAGCCAGTGCAGACATCAACTAATCCAGGGTTAGAACATTAGCCAGGTTCTCAACACACTGACCATGCCTAGCCAACCGAGCATGCTCAGCTTTCAGAGTTTCTGTTTCTGCTCTCCCTTCAGAGCTCAGCTCAGACGTCATTTCCTCTGAAAGACTTGCCCTGACTGCCGGCTTGGATGCTCCTCGCCTGAGCTTCCACACACTCTCCCATCTCAGCACTGATCCCACCCTACTGATGATGCTGTTGTTCCCCTCTCCCTGCTGCCCCCAAACTTCTGTGGGAAAGGGTCATCTTTGTTGATCAACGTATTGCTTGCATCAGCACAATGGAAGGCTTGAAATATATTTGTGGACTAAACTTTAAAATGAATGAATGATTTCTAACAGTGGCATGTATAAACATGGCAATACCAGGCCCTACTACCTGCACCCATCCACCCATGCTTAGGACCAATGATCATAACATTTGTAGTTTTGATCATTTCACAGACTGCCAGGGAACTAATAACCTGATGTCCTTCACATATAAAACAGGTTCTGTTGTCCTATCAGAAGGATGTATAGGGCTAACTGCTAATTCTGCGAGGTGTCCACACAGATGTTTGTCTAGGTCTTAGGTTCTCCACAATACGATTGATCCTGTAGCATGCTTCCTACCGCTGTTCAGCCTTAATGTATAGCTGAACCTTGACACCCTTGCATTTGGACTGGATGATTCTCGGTTGAGGCCTGTCTGGTGTCCTGCAGGATGTTTAGCAGCATTCCTGGCCTCGATTCACCAGATGCTGGTAGCACTCTCTGTCATAATGAGCAAAACTGTCTCTAGGCACTGGCACATGTCCCTCGGGAGGTCAAAGTCTCCCCCTGTTGAGAATTCCAGATGTGTATTTGACCACATAGGTGAGCTGAAGCCCATTCAAGGCTTCAAATGAGCCCTCCCCAAATACCTTTACTGGCATTTCATAGAAATGCCCATCTTGCATAATTGGTCTTAAACTCAGCATTGGCATCAATCCTGTGTGTTCCAAAGAGATAGGAATACCAATGGCGGAAAGTCATGAACATGCAGACATTCTGGATGTCTGGAGACCAAGAGGATCTGAGAACAAGAAGGGCAAACAGGTTCTGTTATGCACCAACTCCCCATGTATACTTAGAAGGATATGGAGACCATGGCTGAGCTCAGCAGCAGAGAGAACTGTGTTTAAGTAGCAAAGCCTGCCATGGATTTGGGGAGGGGCAGTAGAGGCCATCGGTGTTCCACCAGCCTAAGCAAAGTACTGCATGGCATGGGGGATGTGGGCAAGAATGGTTCCAGTTCACGAAGGTGGGGGTTGCTGCCGGGGAGATGAGAGCCACAGAATTTCTCTCTATTATCTTCAGGCATAGTTAAGACCACCTGACGTGGACTGTCTGTCAGTGTGGATCCCAGGGGGCTTTCTGTCAGCTGAACTTAAACGCAGCAGGTCAATTTCTGTCTACAGTTCAAAACCTCACCTGGCGCTGATACCTGGGAATGTTTATGTGAACCTTAGCTCCTAAAGGCACACTCCTTTTACCTGGTGATTAGTCTGGCCTTGACACTCGCTGGCCATTGTAGTATATCTCTATGATTACATCACAAAGGGAGAGGGTTCCTGGGTCAAAATAAAGCCTCAAGGACACATCTACCAGCTTGGGGCCAGTCCGTGTTTCTGGGACAATAAACATGGGCAGGCTTGGGAATATGAGGTCAGGGGTTCCTACCAAGTAGTGGGTAGCTGGAGGCAGTCCCCATTAGTAACAGGGAAGGTGGGTCTGCTAGCTCAGGGAGACTGGAGCTGCTCACTGTAATGACGAAAAGAGACAGCACCAGGTTGGCACAGCCCAGTTTCATTTTGTGGCCACAGCTTGCTTTCCCTGAAGTAGCTGCTGTATGAGAAGCCAGTGTAAGACAGGTGGGTGGCAGGGAGAGAGGAAGGAACCACAAGCCACGTTGCATCTCTTTCCCTTCCTGAGCAACGGCAGGCAAAACCAGCTTGAAAGTCCTAGGTCTCTTTTCCAAATATCTCAACAATTTAGGATGTAAAAACTCAAAAATCATGGCCCATTCCAGGGCCCTTTGGTACATGCATGGGCTAGAATGGTCCAATCCACGTCCCTTGCCTCTCCGTGTATCATTTCCCCTCCTCCCCACCCACCCATGCACAGACCTTACTTCTATTTTCCTGCATTGAGAGCTTTGCCCTTTTACGCTTTACCCTATGAAAAACATTTAGCTTTTTACTACCACAATTTAATAAAGCATTGATTAAGAAACACTGCTTCTACTTGCAGGCAGTTTTTTCTCTAACAAGCCCAAACAGCTGCTGTCCTTGGTGTCTCTCCCTCTTGCAATCTGCCTCTTCCCTGCCTTTCTGTCTCAGCTGTACCTCTGCTGTCTCTTATCCCTCATCCTCTCCTCCTTGTCTCACTGTCTGCTCCACATCTCCCTCTCTGTTTCTGCTCCCTACCACCCCTTCCGTGAGCACGAGGTCAGAAATGCAGGCTTGAGAAGTTGTAGCGTTGGAAGTGGCCCTGGGATTGGACTGTGGCGGTGGGGTTGCCGGACTTGTCCTGGTTCCAGGGATGAATCTTCAGTTAATGCCTTGGAATTCACCTCGCTGCCCAGATTTAAAGGTCACATTCTTGCAACAAGGAAACACCCAGAACACCTTCTGAGTCCAGCCCCAAATCTTAAGAAGAAGAGGATGGATTCACTTTAGGCTACTTCCCAACTTGAGAGTTAACCATTCGGAAGAGTCGGGCAGTTTGCAGAAGCTGGGGCGTGGGGAGGTGTGGGTAAAATTGTAACATTTCCAAAATATCCCGCCTGGCATTTGCATATCCTCAAGGGGTGCAGAGAAGTTCACCTCTATATCAATGGGACATTACCTGGGCCACCGAGGGTGTGTCTGAACCTGAGAGCTTAAAGGGAGGGACTGGCAGGCTGGCTGGCTTGCTTCCTCTGGAGCAGAGGAGAGAGACGGCCCTGGACTGCAGTTTGTAAGCAGTAAACGGGTTTTAAACTTGATTTCTCCCTTTGACTGATTTCAGTTTTTAGAGGTATTTTGTCCTGGGATTTCCTCTCCCCGGACTTACAGGAGGGGTGTTGGGAATCAAGGAAGGAGGAGAGAGAGATGCAAGCCAGCTAATGGGAAGTCTGGCAGGAAGATGAGACTTGCCACGGATTTCCTAGTTAATGCTGTGTCTGGCTGGCCCACAGGGACGGCCGTCAGCCTGTTGCTGGGTGGCTAGGAAGGGAGGGCCTTCTAGTGCCTAGAGCCCTGATCATGGACAGGCACCTTCGTACCCTCAGTGGCCATCTACTGTGGCCTACAGTCGGCAG